TGAGGATTCTTTTTGCTTATAATACCTTTTAGGGAATTTGGGAACCTCTTGCTTTCCGAACAAATGTCACATTCCTTATTGGTTGCCCTCTGGCACTTCTTCTGGCTCAGCGAAAATTTTATGGTTACGGTATGTGAATAAAATCTGTTCATTAATAGAATGATGCTCGTAATTTTCATCTACGGACCGGACGGAAAAACTATCAGCTCCTGTTTTAAACATCGTTATTTCATGGTCTGCAAAGAAGAGAACCGCTGTTTTTTGAATATTTCGCTGTGAAGAGTACGATTTAGATTTCGTATCTTTTGCAAAGCATAAAATTTTTCTCGGTTTGCCTTCCCAGCTTCTTCCCATTCAGAATTACGTTACACTAACATCAAGAATATTCAAAATTCATAGTACGAAAATAACAAAAATTGCACGATCCCAACCTTACTGTGTACGTCTGCGTAAATAAAGTCTAAAAAAATCCAGTTTCAAGTTTAAATTATAGAAAATCTACGCACTGCTTAGTTTTTGATCTCAAAAATTTTATAAATCTTTCAGAAGCAGAGCCACTGGAATGCAATCAGCTGTACAATTTGTACTACTCGTTAGATCCGTGTGGTGCTCGATTGGAGCCAGTACTGAATCCTCAGCTCGCGATGCTTCTACCAGTAAATGTACCCCGTTATCGCAACAGTTCTTCAGTTAATGCACAAACTGACAGGTTTATGATAATCCAGAAAAATTCTTTAGTTTTTTTTGAAAGCTCCTTTTCATTTTGTGTTGCGAAAAATCTGCGAAAAGTAAATGTCGCGAAAAACTAGAGAAAAGCCAGCAAAAATGAAGCCGCTACAAAAAAGTGTACACTGCCTATAGAAAGACAAACAATAAAGAAAGGTGTATGCTGCCTTAAATGTTAGATGCGCAGCTGAAGTGCTCTCACACTGATTGAGGGACACAGAGATCGGTGGTGTAGTGGGTAGCATTTCGCGTCCGAATGTGAAGACGAATGGTTCGGTTCCCTGCCGAGGCTTACACACAGCTGCAAAAAAAGAAAACTCCGTGACATGGTACCACGAACAAGGGATTGAGGCGGCGATCGTTTGATGTTGTGGATGGAATCCTCTTTGAAGGGCTCGCACTCCCATTTGTTCATGTACTGCAGACATTGCTTGGCGGCCTGACGAAATTTGAACTTCAATTTTTCTTAATCTATCTCTGATTTTCTGCTACCTGTAATTTTGTTTTCAGCTCGCTTGATTCTTCATTACTTTGGGGCAATCGTCGGATTGATCATACACTTTACTGTCCACATTCTATGGTCGCTCTTCCCTCATCAGCGTTACCAAAAGTCCTACACGCTTCGTACTGGGAGAATGAGGATGTGGCCGCGTTCATTTTAAGGTTTATTCGAAATTTTGTCATTAAAAAAATGCACATATAAATTTAATACTTAATTTTTTCAACAAAAAATGTATATGAATTATAGTGCCTTTTAAAAACCAGTAAATTTTTCAGTTAAATTTAAATGTTTACACTGTATTAAGCAGTATTTCAAATTTATTTAGAAAATTTCAGGCAATTTATTCGCTCAGAAAGTGTGCCACTATCGAATTTATCGAATGTTGCCTTTATCCCTTCCGAAATTGATCTCGGTCCCGCAATATGGAATAAGAAACGAACGAAATACAAGGTATAAATTTAACAGCCAGTGTGCGATTAATTTAATATCCTCGGGAGCGAAAGTGACTATTCCTCCCAAAAAAAAATGATCATTTTGCTTTTGGAAGCCTGACTCGAGATGGTGTTTCCTAAATTGAATTAGGAATTTAACTCGGAAAAGTTCGGCTGCTCAAAGTTGATATAACAAAGTTGCCATTTGCAAGCAGCGTACACAAAATCTACGATATGTTAAGGAGATTAGCGAACGGGAGGATAAGACAGTAAACTGGAAATCGGCTCATCGAGGATAAAAGTAATCAGGCATACTCAGAATCACATTAAAATTTGGAGGGCGCAGACAGAAGCATGCAGTTCACAGCAGAACCTAGCATAGCTGCTTACTCGTGGCATGAAGGATTCCGTGTGATATTAGTGATGTATTATTCAGACTAGGAGGTTTTAGTCCACATTTAAGTTAAATGGCTAATTTTGCAGTGTATTTTTTTTAAGATAGCCAATCTAGCACCAAGTCATCGCGGAAACGATGTGATTGTTGTGGAAGGTGCTGAGCAGGTAATCCATGCACGTTTTTGCTACGGCCCAATGGATCTGGTAGCGCTTTCACGTGAAAATATTTCGGCTTACGTGCGTCCAGTTGGTGGTGATTGGCAGCTGATCAAAACGGATATAACTGATTCGCATGGCAAAATCACTTTTGAGGTTTGCTGCTTTATTTTATGCCGGATGTATACCTGGGATCTGAAAAAGAGGCTGTGCCTTCGGATAATCTAACAGATACTTGCTGGTATCGTCAGTTTATTAGAATAGTGATAAAGTGGAGCAGTAAAACTTATTATTTATGGATTTTCACTTAAAGAAGACCTAAAAAAACTAAGAGAAATTTGGTAAAATAGATAAGAAAAGTGGGAGAAAAAAAAATAAATCTGAACCGCTGACATCATTAACGTAGAAAACAGATCTCTGTGAGTTATAGATTTTTGATGTATTAAGAAATACTGATAAAAGTAATCTTAGAAGGAACCACTTCAAAACTGGCACTGTCATGATCCAATCGGCATAACTTGGATAAAAAAAGGGCTTCCTGGAGA